AATCAACTGTATCTGTGTAAAGAAATGGTGAAAACGCGTCATATCATCAGCCAAAACCAGGCCGGGACAGACTGTGGAACAGACCATCAATTGCTCATATTCAAGTTCAGGTTGAAGCTGAAGCTGAGGAAAATTAAAACAAGTCCACAAGAGCCAAAATATGACCTTGAACATATCCCACCTGAATTTAGAGCTCATAGGAACAGGTGTGATGCATTAAACACTAGAGCCCGAAGACCAGAAGAGTTGTGGGATGACATAAAGAACATCTTATAGGAAGGAAGTGTTCCATTTCATTTTTAACAATTTCCAGTTTTCCTAGATTCATACATCATACACTCCATATTCTGATTATTAATGGATGGTTACTGCTGTTTCCCCTAATTTTGAGTTGTGCCCCATCTACAAACGAAGTTCTCTAAAGGCTTTACTCCATTCATGTCATGGTGGTCAACACTACTTTGAGGAGGCAGCTCTTCCCCAGTTGTATTTTGAGTGCCTTCTGCCCTGAGGGGCTCATCTTCTGGTACTAGATCTGACAGTTTCTGGTGCTGTTAATCATGTTTCAGTATTCAGTACCCTGCTGTGATCAGACAGTGTTCCATTGATATACATTAGAATATCAGTTTCTAAACATTCCAAAATAGTCCACCTCTCCCTCTCTCTAGTATGTTTTAGTCTGGAAGCTCAGCTGGATCCTGTCCACCATGAAGTGTGCCCTTCTGGTTTTTAAACTACTGGTGGCATAGATTCAAATGGACTGAATAGTACTTAACAACAACAATGTAATTTACAGCATAACATAGTTTAAATCATCACAACAATATGCAAACTTCCACACTACGGCAAAGTGACAGACAAATGGTGGCTCAGAGACCCTAGTAGTAGCTAGTTCTACTCAATTCTGTAGTTTTCTATGAGTCAGAACTGACTTGATTGTAGTGGATTATAATTTATTTATGTTTATGACATATTTTCATTACTGGGTAAGTGCTTGTTTAATGAATGAATAGATAAGTAAGTGAAAAAAAGGTGAGTATCCTGGTCTTTGGGCACTAGAAAGAAAGGATTCAGAATATCCTAATCATATAATTGGAAAGATTTTTTTAAAATATGGAAAACTTAAAATCAGAGACCCAGAATCAGTGGAGTAGCTAATAGAGTATGGCTTCCATTTACAAGTATGTTGTTGTTGTTGTTGTTAAGTGTACTGAGTTGGTCCACCTCATAGCAACCAACCCGAGATAGGATTTCTGAGGAGGAACTAATGGGTTACAGACCTTGTGGTTTGCAGTCTGGTGCTGATCCTAGAGTGCCATTAAAATAGATGGAGATCATGACTTATTACTATTCTTAAATAGGTTCCAAGGTAATTTTCCATTTAAAAAAAGGTTCTGAAATAACCTTGATAATATTTCACTTTTTCACAGAATATTTGACCTGTTTTATTATTTAACCCTGCACAAACCACTGGATATTTAAGATATAGTAAAATCAATGTGATTTGGTTTTCTAGGCAGAAAAGAAATTAACTGTATATAGCATAGAAGCTGTAAATCAAAGAAATGATATGTCAACAAGGGATTACTTTACAAAAACAGCTACAAAAAAGTGTCACATCGGAGTAAATATAAATTAGGATTTAAATATACTTCTTACATAAAAGGTGGCAATTATGTAGTATTTTATTTAAAAATTTTAATAACTTTCAAACCATTTTTTAAACTGTAGTGAACAGCTGGCTAGACTTTATGAACTTGAATAATTATACCTGTATATTTTTCAGTTCTCGTCCTACTCCAAGAACTAGCGCTGCAATGGCATTAAATCTGGATGATGATATGACTCAAAACTCACCGCAGAAGACATCTCCTCTGATAAAGGTCAGTAGGAATGGAAATTGGTGTTTTTCTCTAGGACAGATGTAGAAGCTTTGGACAATAATTGCAAGTTGATCCCTTCTGAACTATGTCATAATTACAATATTTACAACAAAGTCATAGTTTCTGTTGTTAGTTTTTCTCGTAATTACTCTGAGAGAAAGGAGTTCTGGTTTAGTGCTGTGGGTTAATGCGCCGGACTGCAAAGCCTTAGAATTGCAAAGTTGGCAGTTCAAGCTCACCAGTTGCTCCTTGGAAATGCTACACAGGATTGCTATGGGTTGGAACCAATTCGACGGCACTTAACAACATTAACAACACTCTGAGAGAGAAGTCCTGGTGTTGTGCTCTGTTGAACTGCAAGGTCGATGCTTCAGGCTCACCAGTTGCTCCTTGGAACCCCTATACAGTGTCGCTATGGGTCGAAACCAACTCAATGGCACTCAACAACAACTCTGAGAGATACTTCATTTAGTTGCTTCAGAGATTTTTCTTTATTTGTTAACAACTTTATTGAGATGTAATTCATAAACTATTTGCATATCATAGAATTTACCTATTTAAAGTGTACAGTTCAGTGACTTTTAGTATATTCGTAAAGTTTTGCAACCATCACTACTATCAATTGTAGAATATTTTCATCAAACCCCAAAAGAAACTCTGCCCATTAGCAACACTATCTGTTTTCCTCTTTTCCCCAACCCTCGGGGCCCACTGGTCAGCTTTCTTGCTCTCTAGATTTGCATCTTTAGACACTTCATATAAATAGAAACATATAAAATACAAGGCCTTTTGTAACTGACTTCTTTCACTTAATTTATTATGTTGAAGGGTGATCAAAACTTCATTCATTTTTATTGCCAAATAATATTCTGGTGTGGCACTCTAGGATCAGCCCTGAACTGCGAACCACAAGATTGGCAGTTCAAACTTACCAGCTGCTCCTTGTAAGTCCTATTGAAGGTCGCTTATGATTTGGAACTGACTCGATGGCACTTAATGACAACAGTATTCCATGGTGGTATGAATACATACTACATTTTTGTTTGTCCATTAAGCAGATGATAGACTTTGTGTTTTTCCCATTCTGAATAGTAGAGTATGAGCATTCATGAATAAGTTGTTAGTAAATATATGTTTTCATTTCTCTTGTGTATATACCGTGGTGTGGAGTTGTTGAAACATATGGTAACTCTGTATTTAATCATTTGAGGAGCTGCTGGATTGTTTTCCAAAGTGGCTACACTACTTAATACTTCCACCAGCAGCATGTTTTTCCATATCCTTACTGACACTTCTTATTGGCCTTTTTGTGATTTAGCCATCTTGATGATTGTGAAGTGGTATTTCTTTGTGATTTTGAATTGTGCTTTCCTGATGACTAATGACATAAAGTGTTTGTGTTTTTTTTTCCATGTATTATTTGGCTATTTGTATATTTTCTTCAGAGAAATGTGTGTTTTAGTCCTTTGCTCAAGTTTTAGATTGATTTATCTTTTAATTGTTGAAGTACTAAGGTTCCTTAGATATTCAAGATATAAGTCCCTTCTAAAATATGTGATTTAAAAATATTTTCTCCTTTTCTGTAACTTCTACTTTTGTTTGGTTGATGGCGTCCTTTGAAGCACAAAGGTTTTAAATCTTGATGTCTAGTTTGTTTACTTTTTCTTTTTGTGTCAGTATAACTGAAATCATTGCCTACTCCAGGGTCACCAAGATTTATACCTAAGTTTTCTTCTAAAAGTTTTATTGTTTTTTTCTCTCTTGCATTGTAGGTCTTTGATCTCCCCCCTACCCCAGTTAATTTTTGCTTGTGGTTGTGAGTTAGGGATTCAACTTCAGTCTTTTGAATGTGACAATAGGATCAGCATTGTACTGTAAACCACAAGGTTGGCAGTTCAAACCTACCAGCTGCTCCTTGGAAACTTTATACAGGGTTGCTATGAGGAAGAACCGAACAGCTGGCACTTAACAACAATCCTAGCATCCTTCATTGAAAAGACTATTTGTTTTTCCTCTGAATTGTTTTGTTACCTTTCCTGAAAATCAAGTGTCCATAAATGTGAAGGCCTACTTTAGGGCTTTTTATTCTGTTCCGTTGACCTCTATGTTTGTTCTTATTCCAACACTACATTATTTTGGTTACTGTAGCTTTGTAGTAAGTTTTGAAATTGGGAAGCGTGATTCTTCTAACTTTTTCCCTTTCAAGATTATTTTGGATATTCTGGGTTCCTTGAATTTCCGTATTAATTGTAGGATCAGCTTGTCTGTTTCTGCAAAGAAGCCTGCTGGGATTTTGATAGCAATTACATGGAATCTATGGATCAGATTGGAGAATATTTCTATCTAAATAATTTTGTTTTCCCTTAAGAACATGGAATACCTTTCTAATTGGTTTTAATTGTTAAACTATAATTTTTCTGCAATTCCAATTGTCTATGCAGGACTGAATTTCTACAGTGAAGTTTTGTCAGCAGTGAAATAAAATAAGTGGGTTATAATAAAAATCTCACTCTGCTCATAATTTATTGGTTATATGTGAAACAGGAAATTGCTGTAAAAGTGCAAAATACATTATGAAATGTGATAGATGTTGAAGCTCTCCTCGTAGATGGCTGTCATAGAGGAGTATGTGCAGGTAATTTATGAGACTTTGCAGGCAGTAATCACATAGCTAGTTACTTGCCTTGGTGGCAGCAGCAATGGGCTGAAATATAACAATTGTGAGGCTGGCACAGAACCAGCCGTGTTTCACTCTGTTGTTCATTTGCTATGAGTTTGAACTTGACTCCATGGCACCTAACAACTGCAATAACAAGCCCTAGTGGTATAGTTGGTTAAGAGTTGGGCTTCTAACCACAAGGTCGGTTCTAATCCACCAGC